TATATATATATATATATATATATATATATATATATGAGTCGTCTCAGGATTTATAAATTTTTTCGAAGTTTGCAGCATTGTGAGTTATGGTCTCCGATTGCAAAATTAAAAGGGTGCGACGAAAAGTTTGCTGCTAGCAGGGTTAGATCGTGTAAGAATGATGAGAAAAACTTTTTTCAATGGAGTAATTTTTTCGGAGAGAAGGGTGTTGTAATTCCATTTGCTTAAGGCGGATATCAATATTTCCAGCTGATCTAGCTAAGTGCTTACATCAGCGGGAAAAATCAAAAATAAAAGTGATAATAAAATCTGAAGTATCGCTTCCAAAATTGCAGTATTCCTGATTTTCTAGAAAAGGTGGTTTTTGAAGACATCTTGCGCGCGAAATGCTGAATTTGTAAGACGGTATCGTTATGATTTTAAAAGCTGTAACAGAAATAGCGAGGCTAAGTCGCAAAACATTAATTTGGCGCGAGATTTTAGCGGCGCTTTAGGTGACGTTGTTCTGATTTGAATTTAACTATTACCGTACTGTAGCACCGTTGCGTCTAGCTCAGTAACAAACCTTTGATTAAGTATCTTCTCTGGTGGATAATCTAAAACGGGATTTTCAAAGGAAGATAAATACTTTTTGTAAATTTAGCGCTTTGCTTCTTTAAAAACTGTTTTTAACCCTAATATTTGCCGCTTACTGCTGGTTGCTGACAGCGGGTATTGCTTTGCTGTAATTTTCTCAGCCGTATATTTTTCAAATAATGGAATTTTTTTGTACTGTGGCAAGAGGCTGCTACTAACTGGCAGCGGTAGAAAGGCGTTTTTTTTCCGATTTTCAGTAGATAATGTCGGCCTTTCCTTTGATGTTGTGTAGTTGATAACTTGCTTGTTTCTCTACGAGATTATTTCCTTTCCTTAGCAGTACGACAATTTCAGGTCGAGGACACAGCACGGCAGCAGTAAACGGTAGTGGCTGAGTAAACCACGAGGTATCTGAGTCGTATGCAGAAGCTGATTTCACCATTTAACGTTGTTCCCAATCAATAAGTTTAATCGTTGTAATATTTCGTATTTCCCATTCTTTGGTATGTCGGATAACCCAGTCAGTGATCGCTTGTTTTGCTCCCTAGTTTTCTCCTGCTTACTCGGAATTACACTTCTCGGAAATTAGAGACGCCTTTTGATGTTATTCCTTGTTTTTGTTGCATTTTTGTTCTAATTTCTGATTCACGATTTTTATGCTTTAGTTCTCAACTTAACGGCTCTTTCTCGTTTTTTTTATTTTTATTTTTATATTTTTTTTTTTTTTTTGTGAAAGTCAAAAAGGGCCAGCAGATTTTGGCGAAAAGAAGTTATTCTTGTGACTGTTCCCGCTCTCGCTCGACCTAATACATTTCCTTCGTTGCTGTGTTAAGAACAGCAACTAAAATTCCTTTAGTTGTTAGTAATCATGTTGTATCCCGTTTTGTTTTCACGGTGATCTCTTCTTCTCGCCGTCGCTTGACTTTGTTATTATCATTCTAGTGTTTAATTTGAGGTATTGTTCGTTCCTGATTGGCTCGACGAATGCTAAATCATTTGGTCAGAAATTGACAGATGAATAATTTTAAACTTCTCTTTGATTCATGCAAGAGCTCTGAGGATAACTGCGACTCACAACTTCGAATACCAATAGTTATTAGTTTTGAATTCTTTTTACTGTTTTTCGTGAGTTGCTGTTGGAGTTGTAAGACTGTTTAACTTTTTTTGATTTGTGCAGAAGGCTGCATTGGTGGCTGTTGAAGTTTCCTGGTTAGGGAGGGGTCAAGAGTGGTGGAATCTGCCTTTCCCGTACTTCGTATTGCTAACAGTATGTGCGGCCTAATGAAATGACAGTATTTAGAAGGCTAATGGCAGTTCCGACTGCAGGTTTCTTGGCGTAGGGTGCGACGATTCAACTTTATTAGTGGTGCACAACCAGACCAGCATTACAGAAGTGTGTAACAAAACAGGTAAAAGCAAGGCTCAAATGTATGGGCTTCTGGTGCTTGCAGGGAGGTCCAAATTAGTTGCTTCTACCGAGGAGACTTGAAGGAGGATCTAGGTGGCGCAACATAAATGGAACTCCTGCGTTGCCACTTGATAGCGAAACAGTTGACGAAAGTTAACACGCTATCGGTCGGTATCCCATAAAACTTCTGTTTCAGAAGGGACCTGCCACTTTGTTCTTTGGCTTTCTACAAGAGCAAAAAGTGAATGAAGTGTAGGTTTCCCACTAGCGTGTTCCGTCGCCTCCAATATGACTTTGGGCCCGTAATCGCTTTCGTCAACCACATTCCGAGTCCAGTCCCAGAGCCGCACAGACGCTTTCTCCCTTTAACAATCATTTAGTTAGGGATTTCAAATCATTAGAGGATCAACGACGATTAAAGTTCCTTGAGCTCAATATTATTTCATTGGCTCCTACGAGCTGAAGTTCGCAAAACCATAAATCAGTGCATCTCGTAATGGTTACTATCAGTCTCAGCGGAAAATTTGTAAAAATTTTTGGCATTTATTAGATGGTTTTAAACGCTTACGGATCTTTTGGGGATGATGTGACATTCCAAAACGTAGTGAAACAATCTTGCACATAAGGATTTTGAAGGCGAAATTTCCCCTCTGAAGTTTTTTCACACGAGTAAGACTTGTTCGTTTTAAGGTTGAACAGATAAGGACTTTCGTTTGTTTGGGACCACATTAGACGCCATTGCTCTAAAACAAAACTGCCTTTGAAGCGGAGGACGAAATTTTAGGTTTAGAGGGCCAAGTAATTGGTACTTATTGGGGAGAAATGTCAGCCTAGAAACCAATCACCAAGAATGATCCTACCTTTTAGTAGGTGAATAACCCAAATTCCACTACAGCGATACATCAATCCATCGCCTTCGTAAAAATACGCCTCCTCTTCACCTTTGTAGCATCTTCTTTTAAATGATTGCTCCCGTAGCTGCAAATCCTTCATTTTAAGAACCTGAAAAACAAAGAGAGACATTTTAAGAGAAATTATGGATTGAAGCAATGATGAGTGGAAGTGATTAAATGACACTAATAATTGTTTTGCAGGTTATGTTTAATTACATGAAACCTTTAACCTATTAGTTCACAATCATTGATGGGACTGAAATAATTTTAAGCAAAAAGTTGCTGAACAATATTTTCGGTTTCTTAGTTTCTTAGTAATAGTTTCTTACTTCAGCTGCAAAAATTGGGCATTGATTTTTCGTTTGCTCGTGTACCATGACTGCAGAACACATCTTTTTTGCTGCATTCATTCTTTCATCAAATGACAGGCTATCCACATAATCACCGTCGATTACTGCAGCATCGAGGATACGAAATACGGGCTTCTTTTGGGGGATGATGCTATTTTCTGACTAAATAGAAGAGATACAAATTATGATTGATAGTTATAAAATGACAAACTCACTTTTGGCTGTCAATGAAACGGCTGGCAAAAAATAATGAACCCAAAAGGGAAAATGAGTACAAGGAAATTCCTAAGACAGAATCACAAGGCAACGGAAAGAAAAATGTCAATTAACAAACCTCTCTGGCAAAAAAAAAA